CAGAACTGTTTTCTTCCAAACTGCAGATAGTAATGTTGGTAAAACGAATAGCTGTTCTCTTCAAGAGGTAAATTTGAACTTTCTTTCATACAGCTATATATGTCATCATTTTATGATTTTGTTAACACAACACCGCTGCAAACTAATTAGAAATGCAAATGTTTGTGTTCAGCTATAAATATTTTTTAATTCAAGCCTCAATATAAACAGTAAACTTGACATTATCTGAACTTAACAGGTTAGCTCATGCAAGGTTCCAAAGCATTAATCATTTAGAGTATTTTGTTACTGCAACACATTTATGACTTTTTTAAATTAAGTTATTTAATGATGAATTCATTTAACACATTTTGACCCCTGTAATAGAACAGTAATTAGCCTGAAGTTGCCTTACTAGCTGTACAGTAACTAGGAAGAAAACGGCAGAGGTGAGATTTCCTGAAATGCTGTCGATCACAGACAGTTTACTTTCTTAAGTTGGTTTAACTCTTTAACATGAAAAGACTTTGACATAAGGGTACAGAACCAGGTCCACACTTGAATAGTAGAGACTCTACAGGTACATAATAAAGCAAAAGAGAGCAAAGAAGGAGGAGGAACTAACGATTGTGATATATTGAGGGTCTTATTGAACTTGCATGCCTAATACCTTCAAAATGGTTATGGAGAGTAGTTTTAGATAAAACATCTCATTTGAGTAATCATAAGGTCTCTGGATTTTTGGCAGAATTCTGGCTTTGTGGTGTCGTTGGTCAAGACACTTCACCCATTTTGCCTACTGATGATGGTCAGCGGGCCCAGTGGCGCCTACAGCAACCTCTCTTCTGTAAGTGAACCCCACAGCAGCCTTTGCTGCAATACAGCCTGTCTCCATCAGTGTGGAAGTGCAGGTGAATGACTGAATGTGGTGTAAAGAATTTTTTAAGTCCCCTGACCTTAAAAAAGGCGCTTTATAAGTACAGGCCATTTACAATGGCATACTTTTAATGTTGGTAATTCTACTTTTCTGTGTAATAAATACAGAAAACATGAATGTGCATACGCACAAATCAAATTTTCATAGTTTCCTTAAAAAACAAAATCCTATGAATTGTTAAACATGATTTTAAAGAACTGTTCAGGATTTTATATATAAACTACAAGGTTATCACTCCTTTAAGACGTCCCAAAAGATCCCTTTAATTATTCTGCCCTAAAAACAAAAAAGTTAAAGAACAAAAGGGGTTGTTGAGCCTTGAATTGTTGGTATAAAACTGAAAAATTTCAAAGTTAACACAATTTTACATAGCCTTTTTAATGATTTTTGGAAATGAACTCTTCAACCTTCAAATCAAAAACACGACCACTGACAGCCAAAGAATCTCACTGTGGTTTAGCATGTGCTTCTATCAAACATTTCTGTTTAAAACAAAATATGTGGCATCAAAGATAAAGAGCGAAGCAAAACAGGCGGCTTTCTGCATGTGGACAAACACACACTTTCCACCTTAAATCTCGTGTAAGATGTCGTCTCAGAGAAGAATCTTTACATTTAATGTTTTTTTTCTACATCAAGGAATGTTCGAGAACAAAGAAAATTATTTTTATATATATATATATATATTTGTAATGTTTTCAGTCACTGCGTTCTCAGTGTCTCTTCACTTTACACTTTCTGAACTTGTTGGCCTTTTTCTCTGTAGATATGCAGCTGAGAGAAGTCTGTGTGTTTCTTCTGTAAAAGTTGGGCTGGTGTGCAGCAGGGAATGATGTGTGGAACCTCTTTTTTGTCCCCTGTGCGGTGCTTTGGTGGCACCCTCTCCTTAGGTTCTGTCCGCAGAGTATCCTTCACAACATATCTACTCTGAGCCATTAAAAAAGAGATTAGGTGGGGTTCTGTGTATGGTAGGGAGAAGGGAATGGGGCAGGACAGAGCTGGCTCTTCCCTCTCACCCTCATCTGACACATGGGAATTGCAGTTTCTCTCTCACACCCAAATCCTCCTCCCTGTCGGTTCTGCGCAGCTCGGTCCATAAAGGCCATTAAATGGATGCCTCCTATGGTTGGCAGAGCAGCACCAGCATCAGCCAGCCCAGGATGAGCAGCATGGAGAGCCGGACTTGCTCTGGGCTATGATCCAAAAGCCTTGGAGAGGGTAGAGTGGAGTCTCCTTCGTCGCCCCACAGTCTGTCATTCCCACTAACCTGAAAGAAAGATTATAGATATTTTCAGTGTTGCAAGTTTGGGTTAAATGTGTTTCTAAATTGCTCAACATTATCATCTTACAAACAAATGCTTTGATGTATTTTGTTTGGATTTTAATGACACAGTTTACCAAAAAAAAGGTTTTAACAAATCAAACATACATCATAAGTTACTTCCTCCTGTAACATACCAAAATGAATTAACTCAGAGTATCATGCAGATCTGCCTATACAATATATCCTTTCTGATCACTGCAATCACCATCATGAACATTTTAATAAAAACCTGAGGGAATTCGATTAGGTACTTTTTACCTGAATTAAATCAAATAAATACCATGCAACAGTTGGAAGTAGAAACCTAGAAATGTCAAAGTTTGTGAAGAAGTGATATTTTTCATACAGCACTGTATTTGTTTTTATGTTGTGTGTTTAAAAGGATTGGTGATGTCTAAATTTTTACATCATAATGTTGTCCCTTCCCTTAGCACAACAAACATGAAAAGCCAATCCTGGGATGAGGATTTTACGTTATTATTGCTGTTTTCATTTTCATTTAAAAAAATTCAATGGATCTAACAATAACGATAAAAAGTAGTATTTTTTTTTTGCTTTAATTTTTCTCAATATGCTGCAAACACTGTCTTCTTCTCCAAGCTGACCTTTGTAATATCTACCCTGGAAATGTTGAAGAATATCTATTAAACATCATCAAAACCAACCCCTATTACACATCCTGGCATTTGGGCATTTTAGTGAGTACAGTCTGGGTGGTCTGAACCAGATATGTCAAAGTAAAGGAAAAGAACACAACCTTTGGACAGTGAAAAAAAAAAAAACCTGGTCTGAAATGATATTTATGAAAAGACAAAACCTTCCTGTTAATTTATCTTCAACCTAATTGCCACGGTAGCTATTCCCCATGTGGTTCTTTCAGCTATTTACGTTTGGCAGGAGTTGATTTCCAGATTCTTGCAATAGATGGTTTGATAGATATAATTCAAGGTTAGGCTTTGATTTTCACCCTGTCTCTTTCTGGTTCTGCCTTCCAGCTGAGGCTTCTCCCCTTCAGTTTAATCTGCAGTCTTGTTTTAGGCTTTTAAGCTACTCTTTGGTGGTTCGTCATAGCAATCAACCATGAATATTTATTACAGAATGAGCTTGTGGAGCTGCACAGCTGTAAGGTGTGTTACGCATTGGTGCAATAAAAATAAACTGCATGGAATATAATAGAATGAAAGCAATGCAACCTCTGGAGATTTCTCTGCAGAAAATGCAGCATTTAAACACAAACACTATAAATCCAGCTCAGCAAACCTCTCGCAGCGAAACACAGTGGCGCTAGCATCAACTGCTCTCACTATCCTTCCATCAGAGTTGATGAGTACGGTCAAAAGCTCAAAGCCACATGCATCCGAGTTGACGGGCGGATGGCTATCGCTAAATTCGAATAAAATGTGAAAAAGACCTTAAAGAGGCTGCAAAAGATTAACAACTGCAGCAAAACGAGAATGGCTCTATATATACCACCAAAATATAACCCCACAAACAATGTTTTTCTGCATATGTAGTCCATATCTGACTTTGACGCCACTACTATGTTTTTGTTCAAACAAAGCTTTATTGAACATATTAAATGAGAATCACATTCATTATCTTTTCTTTACGGAGCACAGCTGTGTGAGGTCTTAATTCTTCTTCTGCACGTGTGGATTGCTAATGTCTGATAGAAGCCGCTATTCATTAGTGATATCAGACATCAGATTAGAGCAAATAATGGACCATCGTGCTTTGTGGGTGTAGGCTTAGACTTTTCCTAAATACAAGTAGCAATTTGGTCAAGGAGGGATTAAATTGGCGTGAAGTTGTCTAGGCCAAAAAAGAAGATCTGCATCATTACATGTAGCTCAAACTTGCAAAACCATTATGTGCTTGCCATTTCTACTGTACCAGAAACCAAACTTGCTGTCAAAGATTTGGAAGAATAATTGATAATTTTACTGTTTGTCCTGCCTGGGTGACATCATCTCTCATTTAGTGGACAAGCTTGAAGTTAGCTTCAGTTACAGAGGCCTGAGTAAATTGTTCATGCAGCTTTTAATGAATCTGGAACTTTAATCGGTTCAGAAAAAAAACTGTGCTTTCAGATTTTGAAACTGAGCTGAATTCCAAAACACAAAGACTCTTTTAAAAGCAGTAAAAAAAAAAAATATTCTGTTTGTAAAAAACATCAACAACAGATGCTTTAACTGTTATGAAATTGACATTTAGATACAGTTCACTGGTTTGAAAAAAAGTTTTAGTTTTTAATTAACTGCCTTTAGTAAAAAACTATTTTGCCCATCTGAGATCAGTCTAAATATTACAGATCAGCAGCAGATCAAACATACTAGAAGCAGTGATGTGGCCCTTTAATTTAGGCTGTGAGTGCTAACTTTATAGCTCTATATCAGTCTCAAAAAGAGAGAGTAATAAAATCGTAATGCAAAGTTGTTTGATGAAACAGTTGAAAAGAATGAGCAGATTCTTATATTCCTTTGAACTTACATAATGTTTAAGCCTGTGATTAGTTTAAGAACACCTTTTATATCTCACTACAGAAAAACAAAAATACAGAGGAGGCACATCCAACTTTGCATCCAATTCAAATGCAAATCAGTGACCCATCAGATCTTGACGGAGAGGAAAGATATGTTAAAGAGTGAAGGAAGCCATCTCTGATAAAAGAGAAATGTCAACACTAACCAGAGGGAGAGGATTCTTTATGCTTACCTTCTAAGCAGAAATATATTTTTGTCATATTTGTAATCAGTCCTATTGATCCGCTTTTTAAGTTTTCTAAAAAAAAAAGTGTTTTGAAGATTTCCTTTTAAGTATTTTTAGCTAGCATCTGCAGTAAATTAGGGGATCTGGAAGCCATGCCTAAAAAAAAAAAGAAAAGAAAAAAAAAAGAAAAAAGGATAACCCCAGATATCCTTTTGCTGTCCATCTGCTTCTTTTAACATAAAGCTCTTTGGATCTAAAGTGTCAGGTTCTGTTTGTGAAGCTGTCATATTTGACATTTTTCGAGAAAATGGTTATTAATCAGCACTGACATAATGTAAGTTAATTTCTTTCAAGCCTTTTCCGCCTTCATGCCACAGCTAAAAAGATGTTCAGATAAGAGTCAGATAATAGAACAAAAGTCAGGAAAAGGTCACCTTAAGTCTACTTTGAAAAATCCTGTGAAACCTGAAGAACAATTTATAAAGAAAACTTTGAAATAAAGTTTGTCTCAAATTTTATATTATAGGCAGAATATAATAACTCTGAATCCTACAGGTAATGTTACAGATTATAGTTGGATAGTTCTAGATATGTATTTTTTTGTATTGTACAAGAAAGAAAATTGAACTAATTAATTTAATGCCCTGAGGTAATGAGACGTGTTGTAAATTAACACTGTATGTATCAAACTGATTAGATTTTTTATGATAGGAGTGAACAAAATATGAAACCTCTTGCTATACACCACAGTTATTCACCACTTCATTAGCTACAGACTTCCTTTTCTTTCAGGAAAGTATAAAGACAACAATATTCAGGCTAAATCCTGCTGCCATTAGATTGCCTTCATTTTCTTATTTGTATGTTGTTTGTTCAACAATCTGCTCAGTAGATCATTCCAGCTGAGATCTAACTGATATTAGGTCGATTAACAGTGAAGCCGATGGCTCTGGACTGGCTAAAAATGGTGCAAACAGAAAAAGATATTATTCAGAGTCTTGAAAAAAAAAAAAAATAGACACAGCGTCTGAGCTGTTTTACATTCTGCACCTTCCATCTGTTTGCTTGTGGCAGAATAAAAAGAAATACCTGATATCTTATTCTTTGTTACTCTTACATAAAGGCCACATTTGTAAATATATCATTTATAATTTATATGATTTAGTGTAAAGAAATTCCAGGTGGATGTATTACTCACTAATTATTTGACTTCTGAATGTAATTAGTTGCTAAGTGAGTCTCACACTGGTCATTGGGTCTTACATGTTTTAATTCAAGCGTTTCACTTATTTTTCTCTATAAATTTCCTCCACCTTTATCACCCACTTTGTTAAAACAAATACTCCATGTTTAGCTGCTGTGGGACCCAGATCACAGCGGGGTCATCTCTCCACCTGTGGCTCAGTTTTTAGAAAAGCTTGCACATCACGTTTCCATTCTTCCATCTCGTCTCACCTGAGTAGGTATTTGTGCCCGCAGAACGTTCTGCTCTGTTTCCATGGAGATACTCGGGGCGGTGGTTGCCAAGTGTGGACTCTCGTTGTCTGTCGCTGGACTTGTCACCCCAGGCTGACTGGCGCCTGTTTTTACATCTGATCCGTTCCCAAATGCTACGATGGCGTTTTCTGCAACACACCAGCAGCAGAAATAAAGATTTAAAAGCACATAATGATTCTGCTCCTTAGGAGATAAAAAATCTGATTATTACAGGTCATAGATATTTTGACAAGTTCTGACTACTAATCATATGACGCAGGACCTGTAAAATAAACACAAACAGCATCTAGCCATCATGCTGCCGCTAAAGGTCAGGGCTCACTGTATCATCCAGGTGCCTGAAAATAAATTAAACAATCTTAGCGAAGTTCATAATTTCATTGATTCTAATAAAATATTGTTCAGATTCATTACACACAAAGTCAAATTGTGTAGTTAACCTGTCTACACAAGGGTATACTGATGGTTAGAGCTAATGGCTGATTATAACTCAAATTTGGCACTGGCTAATACCAAAACAGGATGTTAAGGCAGATATGTTATGGCAATGTTATGTTCAATTCAATCCTGTGGATGAAATCCAGCATGCACTGAGATCCTTCAATTTTATTCACTTCAGGCTATTTATACGCATGTAGCTCCAGTTCACAACAAATGTCACCTCAGGGTACTTTACAGACACAATAGTCAGATCATACTGTCAGATTCCTTCAAAGTTTTCTATGCAAGGAAATTCAACTGAAAGCATCAACAATCTATTGACTCTACAGCAATCGCTCACACCCAGCATGCATGGAGCAAAAGTGGAGAGGAAAACTCCCTTTTAACAGGAAGAACCCTCCAGCAGAACCAGACTTAGTGTGAGCGACTTCCTGCCAAGGCTGACTGGGGTTTGAGGAGACAGAAGCAGACACACAAAACAAACAGAAGGACTGATCTATAAATACTTTAAATGTTAGAAAAGGTGACAGTAAATTAGCTCTACAGGTAGCTCTGGCTGAGAAAGAGAGAGTTGAGCAGACAAACTCAGAGCCAGTTTTCATATCACAGGGATGAAAGGGAGCACATACAGTTAGTCAGAGTAAAGGTTGAGCCCATGGATATGTCTAGGAGAGAAACAAAAGCAAGCACTGAAAAAGAGGCCCAACTCTATCATCTATAATCTAAAGTGTTGATGGCAGCAGCCCAGCTAATATTTCTCTCCAGGATGATGTCACAGCCAAACAGAACACACCCAATGCCTGTACTTCTTATAGATCCATCTCTCTTCTCAAAGTCGATGCTAAGATTGTCTTAAGACTGTTAGCAACTTACCCTAAAACCTGAAATATTCGCTTACTCTATAATATTTGCACATTTTTAAGGTAATCTACTTTTATCACTTCTCCCTAAATATGCAGGTGTTTTTTTTCCCTTGACATGGAGAAGGACTGGATTGAGTGATTTATCTTGTAAAGGTATAAAAAAAACTTTGATTTAGAAAAGAAAATGTATTTCTTTGATTCAGCTTGTATACAGTTCCCTCTCCAAAAGCGAAGATTATGACAAATAACAATCATTATAGTTATTTTACACTAGCTTGGGACCAGACCTTTCCAAACTCAATTTGTTAAGCTCTAGAACCATTCTTAATTTCATAAAAATATCTTCCTTTGTTGCAAAAGATTTCTTTTTCGGGTCATTAAAACGAAACTATCAATGCACCGGTATGCTGACGACATTAGCTTGTGTGTCCAAGTTTTGACTCAGTTCTGTCTATTTTCAAAAAATATGGCTTTTGCTCCTTTTCTGCTTATAATTGCAGTCTCCTTAAGAGGTAATGTTTTAATATTAACTCTTAAGCCTTGTCACTGATTTATGACTGTTGTATATACACATGCTTCTTAATATTCCTACATTTCTGTATTATAAATCCTTTGTTTTAGTCCTGAAAAAGTTCTATTTCACTAGAAAATGGATTAAGTTTACATTAGATGCAAATCATAACCATCTAACTCTACAACAAAAATCACAATGGATGTATCACATCTTAATAACGGGGGTTTTGCCTTTTAAATGGAAGTACTGAATTAGATTTTATTTTTAATAATAATCTAAACATCCATTTCAAACAAGAGAAACATACAAGGACAAATCAATCTATTCAGTGTGGAACATAGCATCTTCAGTCTTTTCTGCTCACAGGATGTAAAAAAGAAAAAAAATGTCTGGAGCTGAATTGAAAGCAAAACCCTGAGCATAAATACGTCAGATGTCCTACATGTATACATATAATTTATCTCTCTCAGGATATCTGGTGTAAGAAAATGGCTAAAAATGGGAAACATTCTGTGTAGTATTTACGCCAGGGGAATAGACTCCAATATGTCTTTCCTGAGGCAAAAATACTGCAGTCCACAATCCTTTACAAAACTTTCTGCCAATGCACACGACAAATGTGCTTCTGAGCAAAAATGTACAACGTTTTTTGCTCGATTTTGCAGATGACAGCCTTAGTTTTATATATATATATATATATATATATATATATATATATATATATATATATATATATATATATATATATATATATTTCCAGCCTATGCAGTTTTAAATAGGATTTTTTAAATAAAAAAAAAACCTGGTCAAACAATGAATAACTCATCTGCTGTCAGTAGGTTTGCTGGCTCACCTAAATAGCTGCGGGGCAGTATTAAAAGACAGAGGCAAGAAATTTTCCAAACACAGTAAACTTGACTTTTTTTAACCTTCCTGCTGATTTTTAAACGTAAAGTCGGCATCTAAAATCTCCCTCCCAGCAGTTTGCTGCTGTCAGTTGTGAAAATATCCACAAATGTGGGTTTTAAAAAGGCAAAGAGCGAGTGTTTACTGGGAACTACTTCTGAAATGTCTGTGGGGGGAACAACAATGGGATGAAGGGGAGCTCTTTTAAAGGTGCCGTAAACCTCCAGTGAAAAGCGGCACAATATGAATTATTCTACAGGAGTTGAATAAAATAAGAAAGATAAGAGAAAGAGAAATAAAAGTGTTTGAATGACAAGGTGAGAGTGTGATCCTTTCTGTATGACATCATATTGGGTATTCAGAGACGCTCATGCAATTTTTATTGGACATTTCACAATAAACAAGAGCACCTCATCAGTTCCACTCTCTGGAAAAAAGGAATATGCTAGTCATAGGTAAAGGGGTGCAGAGTCATCTTTTATTAAACATCCTGGATTATTCAGTGGAGAAAGACCTATAAGGTTACCTTTAGCTGAATAAGTCCAGATACAAAATAATCCAAATAATAAATGCCATATTGGATCAAACCAAAGTTTCTACTTTTACTTCAGTGATATCCATATATTGTCGCTCCTGTTTGGCTCCGTCCATCTTCAGTAACTTCACTGAGTAACAAACAAACTTGTTTTTTTGCTGTTTTTCAAAAGTTATTCCAAAAAAAAAAAAGACACACAGGTAATGTTTATGTTAAAATTAGCATGACATTTTACTATGACATTTGGTGGTCAGACTAACTTACTGTAAGGAGTATTTCGGCTCTGCTTTAATATGTTTTATGTTAAAAAGAAAATAAGTTTAGAAAACTGTTCCTGGAATAGTTAATTTGACATTATTTCCTTTGATTGTTTTATTATAGTCTTCAAAATACAAACATTTGTACATAATTGCATTCTGGTCTGCCTAAATCACAAAAATTTTAACATCTGATGTTATAATGAGTAATTTCTTGGACGGCTACGTTTTATTTTTAATCAAAAATAAGATGAAGTATTGCTGCTCTTACTGGAGTACAATTTTTGAATACTACACCCACTTCTGCTTATTGTGTTTACATTTATGAGGGAAAGAGATTCATGTAATACTTTTTGAATTAAAGCAGCACTGCAAAAGGTGATCCTAAAACAAGTAAAATGTGTTTATTTGCCTTTGAGTTGAGCAGGTAAATAAAATGATTTGCAAATACAATGCAAAGATAGATAGACATTCTGTACTTGAAATAAGATATTAGGGATTTTTTTTATTATTCTAAACTTAAGTTATCTAATTGACTTGGCTAATTTTCTGACTTCATACTCAGATATAACGAAAATACTTTACTGTACTACTAATTTTTTGTAGTGTGTAACATTACGAAACATGGAAAAGAATGTATTACTTTAAGGACTTTGCAGATGTATTGTAGGAACAGATTAAAAAACAAATAAAAATACTTACATGAGGTTTGGGACACAAAAATATCCCATTAAAAGCCATAAATTTAAAAAACATTGATTTTGACTTTGAGATTATAGTCGCTACAACTTTTTGCAGGGTGTGAATCCTTTACTTTTATAATCACCATAGCATTACATAACAATAAAATAATGCTGACAGTAAAACTCTGTGGTAGCGATAATCCAATTCAAGTGATGGAACCATGAATTCTGCTCTCTAAAAGAAAACCCTGATAGAGAATATCTGGCCATCAGTTAGTGGCCTTAAGCTCCAACTCCCCTGGGATATGCTGAAAAGCCTCATAAAAAAGGACAAAATGAATGTTTTGGAATAGTCTAATCTGATGGAGAGGCTGTGACTTTGAATGCCCTGTGTGGCTGAATGAAAACAATTATACAAAGAAGAGGGATTCAAATTCATGCACAGCCATGTAGAAGATCTGATAGCTCTTGATGGTGGCTGTTATTGCAGAGAATGATTCAACTAGCTATTAGGTTTAAGGGAGGATTACTTGTTAAATGGGAGTAGAAAAGCTCAAATAGCATTTTATGTACAATAAATGAAAACATCATTTAATAACCGAAGACTGTATATGAATGGATTATATTTTATGTAATATATTAATGTGTGAGAATAAAGCAAAACAAGAAATCTGTAAGGGGGGATACATTTTTCACAGCACTGGGGCAGACATCTACTTAGATAGATGCATTAATATAGTTTGCTATGGTCAGAACCTAACAACATTAACTGACATATTTGAAAAAACAATTAAACACACTAAAAAGGTTTCAAATGAACTCTAATTTTAAATCAGACTAAATTCTTATTAATTTTTGGAGCTCAGGATACATGGCCAAAAAATAAAATATTGAATTATATTGAAATACAAGTATTCAGATTGAATTAA